TTTCCCTAATTCTGTTACATTAGTTGGTGTGGCTGTATTGCTGATGCGATGTTTTGGAAAGAAGTACTTTAGCATATTTTACTCTTTCCGAACGTGCTCAAGTGAGAGAGACAATGTTGTTGGACTCATTCAACTCTTTACTGGTCCTTTCAACTCGCCAAGTAGCTCGGAGTTGAAAACAAGTTGCTTAGACCTATGCTTTCTCATATTTCAGAAGCTGCCCGTTTTTTTTTTGAAGCGGATTTGTGTTCAGGTTTGAACTTTGTGCTTGGTAGTGGGTGGAATACTTCTGTTGGCCCAGACTCACAGCAGTTAACTAAATGCTTTTCTGTGCCAAGAAGAAATACTTTAATCAGTTGGGAGACAACAGTTTGTCATATGTTTTTTGTTTGTGTGCACTTGGGGAGCATGCTGAAACACTGCCTGGCATGAAGAGCTCATAGAATTTTCATGCGAGTGTAATATTAAAGTATTTTTTAAATTCTTTGGATAACAAGAACAATTTAGCTTGGTGCTGACACTTTATTTCTCCTTAAATAATTCCAGCTTGCTTGTTTGGGTGGGCGGGGGTATGTGTGTGTGGTTCTTCCTTCCCCTTCTCGTCCCCCCCCCCCCCCCACACCAAAAAAAGAGTAATAGCAGTGCCTACTACTACTGCTGTTGTTAAAGGCTGGTCAGGGTTATTAACTTGACAGCCAAGAGAATTATAGATCAGCTGGAAAAACATGGCAGACTGACATGGAATCAATAGCTGAGCAAGAGCTAGGATTTTTTTTCTTTCTGTCATATTTTAGCAGGGCAATTTTCTAATTACTAGGCCAGAAAACATAGTTTCTGTACAGAAACAATGTTTCTGTACTCTAGAACGAATGTCTGATTTTTGGCAGCGTCAGTACCAGCACACGTCCATTAAAGTGCTTTGGAGAAACAGTGCTTTGGATGATTACGGGTTAGCTGGTTTTTTGAGCATTGGTAGGTGATGTTTTCATGTTCCCCCTGAACATAAAAGCTGCAGACCTGGGAGTTTTTCCGTCATGAATTTAAAGCTACGCTTGCTTTTTTTGGAGTAGTCATGTCTGCCTATATATACCACCCTCCCTTTCTCCCCCTTTTCCTTTTGCAGTGACTCTTCATTCAGTACTGAACCAAACTATTTAAGAACTCTTTTCAAGCTGTTCTTAATCCACCTTATTTTCTCTTGAGGACATATCTTACCAGTTTAGCATGCCCCTATTCTCTTACTTGTTTATGCCTGAGGTTGAGGCCAAAATCTGATCTTTAGTCTCCTCCTTAGAATTATACAAACATTCTGCCACTGAGCACTACTGCTGGCCTCCTGCATCATATCTTTGCTTCTTGGTCTTTGTGGGTTTTTCAGAGGGTGGGAAGCAGGGATGAAGCTGATCTCTGAGGAGATGGTGAATTCCTTAGAGCAGGGGTCTGGTTGTTTGTTTGTTTGTGCCATATGAAGGTGTGGGATTTTTTTTTTTTTTCCCCCCCCAAGAGTGTTTTGGCTTAAGCACTTGAGTATGGCTTGCATTTGTTCTTTAAAAGGAGGGGGGAATATATTTATTTATTTCAACATAAACAATGGAAGAGATGCCAATCCCAAGCTCTAGGCACCCTGCCATCAATTAAAATGCAGTCCAGAACAATAAAAACACTACCCCACCCACATAAAACAAGCAGTCAGCAAGAAAAATAGGAGAATAAAGTTTTCCCAGTGAAAGCAAACCTTTCTTTATCCAAGCCTTGTGTTAAGCAAAGGAGACTTGACTATATGCGTGAGACTGGTCAAGTACTTACGTTTCTTACTCTCTGCAGTGGTATGTGAATGCAAGATTTGCTGCCATGTTTTTTAAAGGGTGCTGACTTCTTCCGAATGTGTTGAAGAGATCCCTTATAAAGTTCTGTTATAGTTGATTATTTAGTCATGTGTATATATATGCATATGAAAAAGAAAATATATGCTCTGTAAAGGCCCATCTGTAGCACTAAGATTTATCACTTTAGCACAACCAGCTTCTAAAATGTGTTCTCTCTCTTTCTGCTAGTTTCTCGTGTTAATGGGAAAAACAGGCAGCCTGTGCCCTTGCAAGAGCTCTGCTGCTTGTGGTCTTGCGTGCTTTGTAGCTGTTGGTCTAAACACTATTTAGTGCGAGTTTTCACCCATTACCCAATACAGATATGAAAGAAAGACTATAATGCTATAAAAAATTTCTTTTGCCATCTGAAACTGTAGCCTTCTTTCAGGTTTTGTGTGCCCAGATGGGAGTAATTACTTTTTTGAGCTGGTGCCAAAAGCTTTGCCTTTCATATCATTAACTGTTTATCAAGGTATTTCTTAATCCTCGCTGAGCCAGCTGACTTGTGTAATATTTTTCCCTGTTTTTTTCCGAGGTACTGTACACAATGCTTGCCTCTGGGTAAAATCATTTGATTTCCTTCTTCCCCTCCACCTCCCCCATCTGAAAGCCTTTCAATATGGGAGAGGAATGCAATAATTTAAAAATACCGCTCATTTGTTGTTTGTGTTTTTAATAGCATTTGTCAAGAGATAGAAGGCATTTCAAGTTGTGTTCAACACAATCGTTACAGAGCAAGTTTTCAGTTCGTTATATGTTGATTGTATCTTGCTACTGCTCACCTGCAAGATACCTTAAGAAATGTTTTGTTAATCTCCTGGTTTAAAAAATGTATGCATCAGAGACGCTGTCTTTCCAGTCCTGGAGGCTGAAGTCATTTTTACGACCACAGAACAAACATAGCAGTAGGTGGTGGTGGTGAAGTGTTCCTTGCACTACTCCAGTGCATCTTTGTTGTACTTTTTTCCTCTGGAGGTAAGTTCCTTTCTTTTTGAATAACCTTTCAGACAACTGCTTGTGAAAGAGACATCGCAGGGCCTAACATAGGTGGCACATTTGTCACGGACACTTCTTTCTTATGCTGGCTCTGAGTCTATTAATTTCTTTTCTGTAGCCTGTCAGCTGTTCATCTGGCCTGGCCTGGCCTGGCCTGGAACTAATTGGAGCTGGTAATCTGAAGTTGAATGATAATAAATTACAGATTGTGGTAAATCCTTATTAGGAAAATATTTTGCTTTCCAGCACCCTTTTCTTTTAAAATCCGTATTTAAGGAAACAAAAAACTCCCTTTGTACACAGTTTTTCTTATCGTGGTCTGTTTCAAGGATAGATTTTTAGTATGTGATTATAGTGAGGCTAATTTCAACTCTCATACTTGTTACTTTCAGGTTATGTTAATACACATAACATACACCAGCTTTCATGAAAGCCCAGCACTCCAATTAAAGTCGAAGACTCCAATGAGTTAGATTAGACTCAAGGCATGCTTTAGGTATCCTTAACAAATTTCTGGGCGCTGTTAGTATTATGGCTTAACAAAGTACCTTTGCTTCCAAGGTTGAAAGAGGCTTCTGATCTCTCAGACCTGTAGAGACATGTTGGCTGATGCAGTGAATTATGAGAGGGCTGAAAACGTAACTGTATGAAAGCGTAGCGTTTCAGAGTTAACATTCCCAGGGCAGACAAAACTTTGCTCCATCGCTGCATGCCGTTTCCACCAGGGTTATTCATTATGTGGTGTCAGCAAAAGCACTAAAAACTCCTCTTGACTTTTTACTTACCTTTTGTGCTACTCCCTGTAAAGCATTGCTGGATGATAAAATAAATAACTGGCATGAAAATCACAAATATTCTTTGTGACAAGCACAATCTGCACTCGTGAACGTTTAATTTTGGATTAGGTCTTTGAAGCATGGCCTTCTGAATCACCCATGTTTGCTTCAACTTTTAGGCTTTCTCGTGTCAAACCTGCTGCAGAACATTTAAATGGTGGAAGCGAGCAGGATTTTCCGTTCTACTTCGGTTAAAATGATCCAAACTCTGCAAGATAATTTTTCTATAAACTTTACTGCTGACCGTGTGACTTAGAAGTATGATTTGATTCTCATGCTGTGATAGCAGTTAGAAAAAAGACTTGTTTTATTGGTCTCAAAATATTATCTATTCTAAAATAATTTATTGAGGAAGGAAAGTTTGGCAGAAAAGAATGCAAGTGTTATTTCATGTCACCTGTTACTCATATGAGACTGTTCAGTGCTTGCTTTAGAGCTGGACTGAGAATTGGAATAATTTTCTAGCAAAGTTTCCTCTGACTAGTGTGCATTTAATAAATGAGCCTGGTGTTTGGTAAGTAATTAAACTGCAGATAATTAGAGTCAGGCTGGCTATAGATGTTTCTTTTATTCATAGAATTTTTAAAAGGTGTAAATGTTGCAATTCTAAGCAGTAATTTCAAGATTATTCAAGGGCAGAAGTACTGCATTTCCAACTTTTGCTCTGACTGATGGTCTTGCTGGGACCCAAGTAGTGGAAT